TGTACGTAAGAGGTTATGAACAGGTGGAGCTTTCCTTACCTCTTCCCCCTCCCCATTTTTTCCTTTTCCTTTTTTCTTTCCCCTTTTTTGCGCTCTGATTCACAATGTGACAATATATATATTTGTTCCCTCCGATTCACAGTGTGACAATATATGTTCCCTTCCTCTCTTCTTTGSCTCTTTGCCCTTTGGCTGTGTGCAAGTGGGTCGATATGACACACGGGGTTGGGGGTAGCCGCCGCTCAACCTACATCCACGTGGGCGGCCTTGTACGCAAAAGAGGTTCTTCCTGAACAGGGGGAGTTGTAAGGAAGAAGATAAAAACACGAATTCATTTTTTCTTTGTTTTTTTCGGTTTTGCGCTCTGATATTCATGTGACGATATATATATCGTCAAACAGAGCTGCCCGGTAAACCGGAGGCAGAGAGGGAAGGAGGGAGTAGAGGACATATACTCTTCTTTTCTTCTTGACACAAGATGTTTAGCTCGAATTGATGTTTTTTTTTTTTTTTGGTCGGCCGAGTTCATAAACAAAGGGTAATTTACCCACCCCATTTGGCTGCGTGGTACACCCACGAATTGTTGATAAAGACGCCTGAGTTCGGATCCCGATGGGAACAGAAGAATGAAATCATTCTGAATTACCGGGGGCCGGTCAGTTCATTGATGATACCTCAAAAAAAAAAATTAAAAAAAAAATGATGATACCTCAAGACCGTCGCCTTTGAAAAAAAACAAAACAAAAAAAAAAGGGTAATTTGGAAATGAAGGAAGAGGGTGCGAGAGAGAGAGAGAGAGAGAGAGAGAGAGAGAGAGAGAGAGAGAGAGAGAGAGAGAGAGAGAGAGGGTGGAGTGTGGAAGTAGGGAGGCAGGACACGGTGAGAGTTGCCCTGGGGGGGCGCTTTTGCCTGGGGTCGGCCCTGGGGGGCCGGGGGGGAGGGTGTTAAAAAAAAGGGGCTCAGGTCTACTATGTATGGGGAGCGGTGCCCCTTGAGGAGTCCAGGGGCCAGGTCCTACTAGCAAAGAGCGTTGGATTTGGCGCCTGAATTTGGACATGTTTTAAGGAAGAGATGCAGAAAAGCAGATCGATATCGATTTTCTGCACCTCTCCTCAAACACGTCCAGATTCAGGCGCTCAATCCAATCGTCTTTGCTAGTGGGACTTCGGCCCGGGTGGGGGGGTAGAAGGAAAGAAATAGAAAGAAAGCAGAGGCGGTGCTCCTACCTTCTTCTCCCGAATACAACGTAGTACGGTCATTTTAGCTGTATGTATTTGGACGGAAAGACACCCCAAATACATACAGTTATAATGACCGTACTACGTTGTATTCGGGGGAAGAAGGTAGGGGTAGGCTCAGCGTCGCGGCTTCCCACCAGTCTTCTCTCACTCTCTGAGCGTAGCCGTCGGGTTTTTTTTGTTTCTTTTTTGAAGGTTTTTTTTTTTTTTTTTTTTTTTTCGGGAGATCGGGCTGAGGTCTACTATGGGGAGTGGTGTCCCCTTGAGAAGTCCAAGAGGGGGAGGGGGAGGGGGGGGGTTAGCCGTCGTCCACGTGGGCAAATCACCGGCTGCCACGTGGACTATGCTGGCAAGTTGTATAATTGACCTGTTTGCATCTCTGCTTATCTAACTTGCCAGCATGGTCCACGTGGCAGCCCGTGATTCGCCCACG